ATTCATTTAGTGCAATAGAGTAAAGTTCCTTCGAATAATTACCATGGAAGTATTTATAGAACATGCATAGGGTAAGCAACGTTATTGCGATGGAAAAGTGACTGGAGCCGTGATGCCAGGTCAAGACCAATAACATTTCAAATTCTTCTTTGGATTTTATTGAGAATTTCTAAATATATAGCAGAATCATCAGACCATATGTGGCAGCAATATTCAAATCAAGGCAGAATGGTATTCTTATAAGTATGTACGATAGAATCTGTCGAGGAAAACTGTCTAGAACGACAAAGTACACTAACTTTCAAGTAGAAAACTTAGCAATTGATTCAATAGAATCTGTCCACTTTAGAGAAGAGGCAACGAGTCACACGCCTGGAGGTTTTGATGATCTTCACTTTATTTTAAATATATGAATTAATTTAATTTGTCAGGGTTCGAGAATACTCTACGTGCTTTATTTAAGGAATACGAAGAAATTTACTGCCATATATGAGATTTTAGGATAAAATAAAATAAAGAACTTTTCTGTTGCTTCTAATGAAGCGCTTTCTCATTCATTAAATTTTAAATATATTTACTTGTTGAAAGGAATTTTAGAAATATCCACCAAGAAGTAACTTTACATTTAACTGTTTGTCCGCTTCAAAAGCAACATATAGGTTATTTCTATATGCTACTGTGATCATTTCGCCAGTTACAGGGCAAAGTAAAAGTGAAAAAAAATCTTGGATTATTTATAGATAAATTAACACTCTCCTGCCTCCTATCCTGATGACTTTTGTCACGTTCTTGAAACATGAATCGATTAATATCTACTGCCATCTGGTACGGAGTCGATGAAAAATATAAATATTGATTGCAATTATACCTCACACCCAGATCTAAAATTAACTGTGACAGGCACCGTTTCTTTCCGGGTAGATTTTATACCTACAAATACCAAAGATTAACTTAAAAAGTTCAAAAGGATGAGAATATTAATCTCTACATCTCATTGATTAGAAACCAGTGGATATCACTTGAAAAAGCGAATATTTTTTTTATTAGCAACTACTATAAATCCCTTGTAAAAGATTTTTCTCATTGATTAGCAACAGGTAGATATCTCTTGTAAGAGAGAATTGTCGTTGATTAGCAGATGTTTAAATAGAGTATTCTAATGACGTGTTTTCTATGACATGACTTTCACCTGCTTAAATCAACCTTATGATGTTTTAAGGCAAAGCTTACTTCATGGGAAAGAGCTTGGCAAATTCGATAGTCACAGAAAACATTGAAGACAAAATAAACTGAGGAAAACATCGAGTAATATGACTTACAAATCTTTAGCAAATGAATGGCAGAACATGGATTGAGAAGGATAGCAAGATGGCAAACATTGCTTAGAGCATCAATGATGGTATTTGCCGAGAGTCATGATCGTCTACGTCCTGAAGGGATTCAGTAAATATAACATTATCTTAGTTTTTTTTGTAAAACATTTGACCAATAAATCTTGGGTCAATTGTTAGAATTAAGACGATTTTGTCCAGTCGCTTCAATCTGATGTTAGTTTGTTTGTTTAGTGACATATCAACTTCTTATGGGTCATTTAATGTCGAATTTCTTTTTTTTTTTTTCGAGGATTAGTAATTTATTTTACAAAAAATGTATTGCAGGTAATTACTTTTTCTTTATTGTTGCAAAAATATATTCTTGCTATTTTTAATATATTGTTGCCATTTTTTGTTGCAGTAATATATTACTATTAATATTTGTTTTTCCCCTACAGAAATGTATAGTGTATAATTTTTTTAACTATGAAAAATATATTTCTGGTTCTTTTACTATAAAATTATTATACTTTCATAGTGTTAACTATTGTCCATAGTTGGGACCCTAATATGTGGTACCACACCGGGTGAGGGTGTGCCTAGGGACAACAACAATTAAGAGACATTCCGCCCTCCTCAATAGGTACCGATCAGAGGTCTTGCTGCCGAATGTAGTTTATCGTCATACCCAGAACGGTACAATTAGTGGAAGAGTATCTGTCTTTAATTGTTCATAGGAAAGATAAGAATTCACTTGATGTGAACGATCCAGGTGACTGTTTTTGCAAAAATCTGAGGGAAATCTTTTCATTTTCATAGAACTGCCAAAGAAACCAGGTAAAAACAAATGTGAGTTTCTAACAAAATTTATCACCCGAATTCGGATGAACAGAGCGGGCCGCAGAATTAGACAGCGAGGAGGACAAAAACAGTGTGGATTTGTTAAAGACTTTTGAACACGGAATGCGATATTTATGCAAAGAAAGATCAATAAATATGCAGAAGTATGTGTACCTGTGTTTTATAGATTATGCAAAGGCGTTTGATAAATTCCATAACAGAGAACTGTTAGAACCAATAGATAACCACGACATATTTGGAAAGGATATTAGAATGATCGGCAATCTATACTGGCAGGAAACCGCCTGTATACGGATAGAAAATGAAATCACTAAACATACAAAAATAGAAATGACTGTAAGATAAAGATATCTCTTCTCACCAGACTTATTTAACCATTACAGTGTAGCGATTATGAGAGAAGTAGAAGTCCTACCAGAATTCATTATGTGCGCCTACAATTTTAACAGCATGAGATATGCAGATAACACAGTTTTTATAACAGACACAGTAAGGAAAGTACAAATCTCCTTCAGAAGGTAGTGAAGGAAAGGGAGAAGAAAGGAATAAACATCAATTCTCAGAAGACAGAATGCATGATTGTTAGCAAAATTGTCAACACAACATGGAAATTACAAATTGGATATAGCAAAACAAACATGTAAAATTTAAATATCTGGTAATTTTTTTAAAAGATGACGGAATGTGTGACGCTGAAATCCGAAGGCACATTTTGATAGCTAAAGAGAATTTCAGGAAGCTAAGCAAAGTATTAAGATACAGAAAAATTTCGTTAGAAGCAAAGAAAAGAATATTGAATTGTTATGCAATATCAGAACTCCTATATGGCAGTAAATGTTGGACAATCTCCTCACAGATGAAGAAGAAACTTGAAACAACAGAAATGAGGTTCTACAGAAGGATGCTGAGAATACGATGAAACGAACATTTGAGGAATGACAAAGTTTTAGAGAAAATAAAAAAAAATTACACTTATACTTAGCATTAGGAAGAGACAGCTGAAATTCGTACGTCACATAATGAGAAAGAAGGACTTTGAAATCACAGGGTAGATTGAAGGAAAAAGGGACAGAAAAAAAGCAACGCATGGGTTTCGCGAATTTGAGTAAATGGATGGCAGAACAAATGGCATGGAATTCTGGAGGACCATAATAGCCAAGGCCCTGACATATAGAATAATAATAATAATAATAATAATAATAATAATAATAATAATAATAATAATAATAATCTTACAAATGTCTTTAATGTTTACTCATCTTTATAACTTTAATACAAATCCTTAACAGTAATACAGGATACAGAAGAAATACCTGCCACATTTTAAATTGCCACCTGTTTGGTGCTAGTGAACTTGCCAATTGTGTTTTCATCTAGCTGACTGCTTATCATTTTCTCTGATAATATTATCTATCATTATTTGGACCAGTGTACAGCGTGTATGTGTTTTTCAAACAAAATGAAAAACACCAAATTCACCAGATTCAAACAATGTTTTAAGACTGGTGTATCTGTAATTGTAACTTTTCGGGCTCATTTCATTTTACGTCGGAATAATGCTGTTCCAGATAGAAAATTCTAGCTATAGGTTGAAAATCTCTGGGCTATAGTTTAAGCGCTTACAAGAAAGCCCGCTCGAAGACCTCGAACTCCAGAAAATGTCCAGGCCAATAGTTGCCATCATTTAGAAAATGTCATATTTTAAAAAATTAAATGAATAAAAACTATAGGTAAAAACAAATAAGATTTAAATAAGATTGAAATAAATCTTTTAATAGAAATTACTTTGGTGTTTTTTCTCATCTTTTATAGTGTGAGAGTTATTTCTAGCGCACTCTGTATTAGGAAGTATTCAGAAATTAGAAAAATCGATTCTATTTTCAATTACAAAAACTAATATCGGTCAAATTTTAAACAATCGACATTCTGGTTTTGCTCGACGCAGAAAGTGCCATTTTTGAAGATGAGATTAACAAAAGTTTTATCACTAGAATGCAAATAATATCGTTGTTAGATTGAAGTCAGTCTTGATCTTCAAAACCGAAAGAAAGTATATTATGCAATTTTTTTTTCGTATGAAACTATGTCCTATTATTTTATGATGGATTACGCAGTTTACATGGAAAAGGGTGTAAGATAACCAAGAAATTATTTTATAACGTTGTTCACCCAATATAAGGCCCAAGAGCCAATCAAATTTGAGGGTTACATATATAGGATTGATAACTCTTGATCCTAGACATGAAGAGGTTAAGATCGTAGTGAAAGAATCGTAGGGAAGTATCCTCTCGGGACCTTTTCTACATAGTAATAGTTCTGTAGATGAAAGCAGTCTGAGGGGAACTTCCTCTTTGAAAAAGGAATAAGAAAGGAATGATTATTCGTCCCCGTGTACGTGGTATGTTGGTTCCTAGTTGTAAGTGTCTGAACTGGTGGAAATAACCAGTGTAGACCGTCTGACCATTTGCGAGGTAAACGGTGATAGAGTGGCGAGAGGTTACTAACATTTTGTCTGTGAGAAAGAGGATGTATGGTGGAAAATATTTAATCTGGCACAAAGGCAGTGAAAACGCTTTTTGGATGGTGACAAAAAAGAAAAATTGGAATTGGGTAGTTTCAGCATAGATACTGAAGCAGTACAATATTTTTGGTACTAATCTGTCGATTGTAATGATAAAACATGGTAGAACGTATCTGAAGCAGTACTTGAAGTCTGGAGTGAATTTGAATGCCAACTGACGTTCAAGGCAATGCGACTCATGAAGAAAACGTTTGTTAGGACGATGTAATGAAATATTTCGTCAATGTTAAACAGGAAACTTTTACATCAACATAATATATTTCTGCATCAGCTAACAAAGTGACAACATCGCTACGGAATCCAGATTTCAGCTGAACACACCAAAATGTTTCGACACCGATCTGGTAGATATAACGCCTCACGGTTGAGGGAATAGCGAGTGGTAAAGGTCGAGAAGTGAAAGATCGTATTACTGGTTTGGAGTCAGCGACATTCATTACAATGAGCTCACCTCCGATTATGGTTACACCAATTCCAAAGCCGAACAAAAGGCCTTTATTATCAGCGTTCGCTCAGTCACTTAATAAAATGCAGTACACTTAAGGGTTATAGTGATACTTCTATTTCAACACAGATATTTATATAACCAAGCACAAAATGCATTTACTCATTTTGGAACCTGGCATCGATCAAGCCAGCTCAATTCTACATTCACATAGCTGGAGAATAAATTAATATAAACGAATCCTTAATTCTGAGCTGTTGGAAAATTCGTCCTCAACACAATAGAGAATGCTAAGCAGATAGCGTGCATGCCAGGCCTACTGGTAGTGATTTGTGATTAAAATTTATTGTTCATTTCTAGGTTAATAGCAGGCTCAGAATTATCTAGCGTTGTCCGGATTAAATAGCTAATAACATCGTTATTAATATTTTTTAAAAAAGAAACGATGTATTCAGCAGGGTTAGCGAATATTTTATAAGTGTCTGATGACTACATCAAGATTGGTTTCACTCTACCTGGAACAAAATCATAATTTATAACATATTTATTATTATTATTATTTATTTGACTTAATTACAGTTGCTGGAAGTTTCTTGCAGTCATGTATTATTTAAGTTGATCATTATTTAATTTTTTTCAGTCACAGCTTTGAGTACATTGCGTTATTCAGACATTATATTTTAATAATTGCTCACCTAAAGCGAGGCTCAAGGTCAACTCAAGGTACAGGGTTACTGAATATGGGTGTTGCATGAGTATAACCGTGTGCATCGGTGTGTCATATCACATTACGAGTTTCTTAACCTATTAGGGTTTTGAGGGTTGTCTAGAGCAAGGTAACCTGACGGATCGTATCCCTCACCAAGCTGATTTTAACTTCATCTTCTTATCTACTCGCTAGGTTATTGTGAATGCCATGGTCACGAGAGTATGTGGACTCACTCACTGCTGATTGAATAATCCCAGGGGTGTGTATGTTCACACATGAGCAGTAAGGATTTCTTTAATAGATGGCCATGTTGCATTGTACATCAAAATCCCAAGATATTCAAAGCGGATATCATTATGCATATAGATGTACACTTGCATGTCAAGAAACTGTAGAACTGTTTCAGGAAACCAATAAAAGGGTCCATTTTTAGAGAGTCTTTAGACAACTATTATGTAAGTCCATCGAAAATTACTTACCTTATTTGATCTGATTTCTTTCGATTATCAGCGAAGACGGTTCCAGAATATAAATAATTTCGAGAGCAGTGCAGACAGTAGCACCTACTGCAAAACTAGAACCATCTGGGTCAAAACAAGAACGTCTGACTAAATCAAAAGTTGGGTAAATTATCTTTCTCAATCTTTATGTACGCCTGTGAGACCTGTACATTAAAAGCAGAATTACAATGAAAAATCCAAACATTACAAACAAGATGCTACAGCACCAGCCTAAATATCTCACACGTAGACCACATCACAAATGTTGCAGTTCAAGATAGCATCAAACAAGAACATTTATTATTATTATTTATATGTCTTAATTACAATTGTTGGAAGTTTCCCGCAGTCATGTATTATTTAAGTCGATCATTAATTAAATTTAATTTCTTTTCCGTCACGGCGTTGAATACCTAGCGGTATTCAAACATTATATTTTTAATAATTGCTCTCGTAAAACAAGGCCCAAGATCAACTCAAGGTAGAGGTCCATTGGAAGACCTCATAAGCACCAAGGAGAGAAGGTTGGAATGCTATGCTATACTCATCATAAGAGTTAAAACTTTTTCCACAGTTATCATATATGGTACCGACTAAGGCAAAATAAAAAAAAAGATAGAGAATAAAAAAAATGGGCTGTCAACGTCACTGAATCGAGTGGAAGATCATTCATAGAGAGTCGACATTGAAATGTAGCCGAAAGATATAGAGGTAGCTAATCAGGTGCTCAGTTGTATAGAAAACCTATGACCACACCCGGTGATTATGTGTAATGAGAACCACAAGGCTTAACTCTTTTCTTCCAAAACAGCGTATTTGTGATTTTTATCTGCAACTAAGAGTAAAAGAGACCCTAAGAGTATATATCATTCCACTACTGTTGTTTCATTCTCCGCTAGAAACCATTCAACCCTGACCTGTTCGCATTAACTACGAACTGCACTTGATGAATATTCTGTTGATCCAAATTCTAGATAGTCTTACAACAGTCTTTTAGTATTGGCTCTTAATTAGATCCTTCTCCGGTCACTCAGCGCCCAAGGTTGATAATAGAGAGAAAACACAGACAATCCCATTTTGAATTAAGATCACGTGACCGTAAAGGAAACGCATAAATGGGAATTAGCATGACGTCTAATTGATCTCTATTTCTTTTCTATCCTCTATTACTATACGGATCACTCGTTCTATTCTATCCTCTATTAGTATACGGATCACTCGTTCTATTCTGTCCTCTATTACTATACGGATCACTCGTTCTATTCTGTCCTCTATTATTATACGGATCACTCGTTCTATTCTATCCTCTAATACTATACAGATCACTCGTTGTATTCTATCCTCTATTACTATACGGATAACTCGTTCTATTCTATCCTCTATTACTATACGGATCACTCGTTCTATTCTGTCCTCTATTAGTATACGGATCACTCGTTCTATTCTGTCCTCTATTACTATATGGATCACACGTTCTATTCTATCCTCTATTAGTATACGGATCACTCGTTCTATTCTGTCCTCTATTACTATACGGATCACACGTTCTATTCTGTCCTCTATTACTATACGGATCACTCGTTCTATTCTATCCTCTATTACTATACGGATCACTCGTTCTATTCTATCCTCTATTAATATACGGATCACTCGTTCTATTCTGTCCTCTATACGGATACGTTCTATTCTATCCTCTATTACTATTCGGATCACTCGTTCTATTCTATTACTATACGGATCCTCTATTACTATTCTGTCCTCTATTAATATACGGATCACTCGTTCTATTCTGTCCTCTATTACTATACGGATCACTCGTTCTATTCTATCCTCTATTACTATACGGATCACTCGTTCCATTCTATTCTGTCCTCTATTATTACTATACGGATCACTATTCGTTCTATTCTATCCTCTATTACTATTACTATACGGACTCGTTCTATTCTGTTCTATTCTATACGGATCCTCGTTCTATTCTGTCCTCTATTACTATACGGATCACACTGTTCTATTCTGTCCTCTATTACTATACGGATCACTCGTTCTATTCTGTCCTCTATTACTATACGGATCACTCGTTCTATTCTGTCCTCTATTTATACGGATCCTATTCTATCCTCTATTACTATACGGATCACTCGTTCTATTCTGTCCTCTATTACACATACGGATCACGTTCTATTCTGTCCTCTATTACTATTCTGTCCTCTATTACTATACGGATCACTCGTTCTATTCTATCCTCTATTACTATACGGATCACTCGTTCTATTCTGTCCTCTATTACTATACGGATCACTCGTTCTATTCTGTTCTATTCTGGATCCTCTATTATCCTCTATTACTATACGGATCACTCGTTCTATTCTGTCCTCTATTAATATAACGGATCACTCGTTCTATTCTGTCCTCTATTACTATACGGATCACTCGTTCTATTCCATCCTCTATTACGGATGTTCTATTCTGTCCTCTATTACTATACGGATCACTCGTTCTATTCTGTCCTCTATTACTATACGGATCACTGTTCTATTCTACTATAATGGATCACTCGTTCTATTCTGTCTATTACTATACGGATCTATTCTATCCTCTATATACGGATCACTCGTTCTATTCTGTCCTCTATTACTATACGGATCACTCGTTCTATTCTGTCCTCTATTACTATACGGATCACTCGTTCTATTCTGTCCTCTATTACTATACGGATCCTCGTTCTATTCTGTCCTCTATTACTATACGGATCACTCGTTCTATTCTGTCCTCTATTACTATACGGATTCCCATCCTCGTTCTATTCTGTCCTCTATTACTATACGGATCACTCGTTCTATTCTGTCCTCTATTACTATACGGATCACTCGTTCTATTCTATCCTCTATTACTATACGGATCACTCGTTCTATTCTGTCCTCTATTACTATACGGATCACTCGTTCTATTCTGTCCTCTATTACTATACGGATCACTCGTTCTATTCTGTCCTCTATTACTATACGGATCACTCGTTCTATTCTGTCCTCTATTACTATACGGATCACTCGTTCTATTCTGTCCTCTATTACTATACGGATCACTCGTTCTATTCTGTCCTCTATTACTATACGGATCACTCGTTCTATTCTGTCCTCTATTACTATACGGATCACTCGTTCTATTCTGTCCTCTATTACTATACGGATCACTCGTTCTATTCTATCCTCTATTACTATTCTGTCCTATTACTATACGGATCACTGTTCTATTCTATCCTCTATTACTATACGGATCACTCGTTCTATTCTGTCCTCTATTACTATACGGATCACTCGTTCTATTCTATCCTCTATTACTATCCTCTATTAGTATACGGATCACTCGTTCTATTCTATCCTCTATTACTATACGGATCACTCGTTCTATTCTGTCCTCTATTACTATACGGGATCACGGATCACTCGTTCTATTCTGTCCTCTATTACTATACGGATCACTCGTTCTATTCTGTCCTCTATTACTATACGGATCACTCGTTCTATTCTATCCTCTATTACTATACGGATCACTCGTTCTATTCTGTCCTCTATTACTATACGGATCACCGTTCTATTCATCCTCTATTACTATACGGATCACTCTGTTCTATTCTATTCTATCCCTCTATTACTATACGGATCACTCGTTCTATTCTGTCCTCTATTACTATACGGATCACTCGTTCTATTCTATCCTCTATTACTATACGGATCACTCGTTCTATTCTGTCCTCTATTACTATACGGATCACGTTCTATT